TCAGCTGCAGGCACAGGGGCCTCCTCGCTGTTCTTTAAACACATAGGCAGGTTTCTGCTTTAGGGCCTTTGCCGTGACTGTTATATTGTTCCCAACCTTCACTGAGTTTTCCACACTGTTTTAACTTGTCTTCATTGGCCTTCTCTAGACTCAAGATATTTTTCTGTTTATTTATTTGTTTTTATATTTATTGTCTGTCTCCTGATTAAGGTCCCACATGTGCAAGGCCTTAGTCTTGTTCTGTTCTGTGTCTCCAATGCCAGGCACCAAAGAGATGGTTAATAAAACTTGAATGAGTAAATGCATAGTAGTCATACATGTAACTACTAGTGACAAAGAAGCTAAAGATGAATGACATAATGATTGGAAATGTAGGGAGAAATTGAGAAACGTATATCTAGAGTGAAAGTTAGAATTTTTTTAATTCCTCTCTCAGAACTTGGCAGATCTTTAGACAAATACAACAAGGACAAAAAGACTGAGTAACACCATGATATAAGGTTGGGAGTGTATATACACACCCACTTGACTCTGATAGTACAAAACAAATAATTCCTGAGACCATGCTCACTTACATAGGTGATTTTGTACTTAACCTCAAGGAAAGCATCGAAGAAATGAAAAGGTTGAGTATTACAGGGCACAGTCTGCCCTCATATTGCATAAAATACTTTCATGTTGATACTGTAGTGCTGGCCCATCCAATGTGGCAGCCAGTCTCCTCCTGTGGCTGTTGTGCGTGTGAACTGTAGCCAGTCTCAGTTGAGATGTGCTGTTAGTGGAAGATACATACTGATTCTTCAAAACACAGTAGGGGGAAAAGGATGTGAAACACCTTACATAAGTTTCTTTAAATATTGACTATTTGTTGAAATAGAACAATTTATAGTAAGTGTGTATTCAGTTAAATAAAAGATTGGGTTAACTCAAATTTGTGATTTAATGATTAATTGTTTGAAAATTATAAAGTTATCAAAATTAAATCCAACCCGATCAGTATAGAGAACAGATTAATGGTTGCAGTGGGTTGCACTGAGTTGTCAGGTGGGGTGTCAAGTTAAGGATCTGGTTTGCGGTTCCTGATTTAAACAAACCTACCTGTGTGATAAAGTTTCATAGATATACACACACACACACTTACACACCCACCCACGTAAATTTACCGTGTAAGGGTTCAGTTGAGTCTCTCAAAAATCATATGTTGAAATCTTATCCACTGCCTTGGGATATTACCCCATTTATAGAAAGGATCCTTAAAAAAAAAATCAACTTAAATTAAAGACATTAACAGTGGGCCCTCCTCCAATATTCCTGTTGTCCTTATTAACAGGGGAAATCTGGTCACAGAGATATGCATAGAGGGAAAAGGTACTAATTTTTTATTTCAAAAAACAATGTTAATGAGAAATAATGACTTGGGCCTATGGATTTGCTTCTCTGCTGTTAAAAGCATAAATTTCCACATGAAGATTTAGGGCTGCTTTAAGTCATTATAGTCAATCTGTTGTGTTTCAGGAATTTGTTTTCTGTTTCTTTCATAATAATTATGTTTGTTAAAATATAAAATTTAGAGTTTATTTTAATTTAATCATATTTTCTTCCTCAAATTTAAGAATATGACTACTACCCTTATATGTCATAGTAAATACTTTTAATGTATAAACATGGTATAAATACAGGTTCAGAATTCTCACAATAGAGTCAAACCCATAGGAACAAAGATTAGAGGAAAGATTAGCGTTGCCACAGGCAG